CTATCTTTCCCCTCCTGGCCACTTCTTAGAGACACTGGACATAATAATCAACCATCCATTTAGTTTCTTTTCATTATCTTGCTTGGATATTCTGGCAAAGTTTTGTATTACAGTTGGTGTTAACAGATAGAAGTACTCATTTCATGGAATTATGCGGTTGAGGAATGCTAGGACTGAAAGGATCTTTTTTTATAACTACATATTTTATTTTTTATTACAAGAAAAAGTTTATTTAGAAAGTTATAGGGGTGCCATGGCCAGTGTGCTCAGTGGTCAGAGCGTTGGGTTCAATTCCTGGTCATGACCCCAAACTTGGCCTGGTCAAGGGGCAACCAATCGATGTGTCTCTCTCACGTCAATGTTTTTTTTTTCTCTCTCTCTCCCCCTCCCTCCCTCCCTCCCTCCCTCCCTTCTACTCTCTCTAAAAATCAATGGAAAAAATATCCTTGGTGAGGATTAACTCAAAGTAAATAAATAAAAGAAAGTTACAGAGGCAAAAGAAAGGCCTGGAAGGGTCCTTATTTATTTATTTAACACATTGTATACGGGAAACATATTTATACGTTTTACGTTGACTGGTAAACACAATTTCCAGTGAGTTTTCCAGTATTTGTCTGTTTAAAATTTAAGAAAAATAATTCAGTATACATTTTATAGTAAATCACAAAAAGTTTCATTGAAAAAAAATATGTAAAACTAAAGTTATCGTAATTTTACTGAACGTTGCCATTTGCGCAAAAAATTAGCAAAAACGGCCCGCATACAGTGTGTTAAAAAATATATATTTTATTGATTTTTTACAGAGAGGAAAGAAGAGGGATAGAGAGTTAGAAACATTGATGAGAGAGACACATCAATCAGCTGCCTCCTGCACACCCCCTATTGGGGATGGAGCCTGCAACCAAGTTACATGCCCTTGACCAGAATTGAACCTGGGACCCTTCAGTCCGCAGGCTGATGCTCTATCCACTGAGCCAAACTGGTTAGGGCGTGGAAGGGTCCTTTTTAGATTGAATGCCTGATTTTTTTTAGATCATCATAGCTGACACTCAGGGCGTGGCATGGGCTTCACCTGGCAGCGTTAGAGGCACAGCGCAGGCTCCACTCAGGCCTGTGAACAGAGCCCGCCTCTTCCCTAGACCTCAGGTGACTTGCATGCACATGGAAGATGGACACACTGCTCAAGGTCAACTCCCATGTCACTCTGGAGAAAACCAGGAAAGTTAGAGTTGCCCAGAGTCACACGACTGTTTATTTCAGTGGCTCCTGTGCTTGGATACATCTTGGGGTCACTTGGGAACCTTAAAAAAATCCTGATGCTTGGGTCCCATCCCCACACATTCTGACTTAACGGGTCAGGATTGCAGCCGGGGCCTCACAATGTAATCAGTCTCCTGGAATGATGCTGTGCAGCCCAGCCGAGAGCCGCGCAGCGGGCTAGTGAGAGAGAACCCAGGTTTCTTGATGCTCCACGCCGGCTTGTACAGTCAGAAACATGCCTCCTCTACCTGGTGTTTCCCCCGGCACACCGCCCCACTTTCTTTCCTTCACAGCACTGTCGCCTTACACTCCCCACCCCCCATTGGCTATGTACCCCACAAAATTAGGGCCTTTGTCTTTTTAAAAAAGATATATTTTATTGATTTTTTTACAGAGAGGAAGGGAGAGGGATAGAGAGTTAGAAACATAGATGAGAGAGAAACATCGATCAGCTGCCTCCTGCACACCCCTTACTGGGGATGTGCTGCAACCGAGGTACATGCCCTTGACCGGAATCGAACCTGGGACCCTCCAGTCTACAGATTGACGCTCTATCCACTGAGCCAAACTGGTTAGGGCAGGACCTTTGTCTTTTTATTGCTGGGTCCCAGCTCCTAGGATGGTGTCTGGCACGAGTTAGGCACTCTGATGTTTGAAGAACAAATGGAAAGAGGCTACGCAGATGGCACCAGAGTGGTCTAACTCAGTCAGTGGGCGGAAGGCCCTGGAAGGATCAGAGATCTGAGTTGGGATTCAGAGGCAGCCAGAGAGGGCAGCGGGAGGACTTGAACCCAGACCTTCCTGACATTGAGCTTGTGCTTTGCCCCTCCCTGCTGTTTGCCTAGACTTGTCAGCGGGGTGGTGGAAGTGGTGCGGGCTCCATTCTCCAGACCCTCATCTGGGGCCACTTCCGCTCAGTATCATCAGCAGATCTCAAGGGGTCCAGTGAGAGGACCTGACTCGGAGTCTGGCCCCCGGTTAACACAAGGCGGGTACTTCTAGTGTGGGTTTCCTTGGGTTTTAGGCTTGTTTGAGAACCTGGTTATTTTGAGGATAGAACGACATTTAATATCACTCTCACTTGTGGGAGTGAGTTTCTGTCCTGGTTAAATTAAACTATTAGAGACACTTTATTACGCCAGTGCTGTAGAGAGATCATGGTTGGTTGTTCGTGATATTTCTGTTACATGTTATTTTTGGTGTTTAATTCTTCTGATTTGTTATTTGGTATATTTTGCCACTGATTTACCTATCATCAAACTTTGAAGGAAGGTGTAAAAGTCCTTTTTTGGGAAGCCATTTATTAGTGTGTCCCACTACACATTAGTGATTTGTAAAACTTTTGATGTTAAGGCCATTGCTAAAATGTCTTGAGAAGTGGTAAGCTCATGCTGTCTTTTTTTGGTAATAGGAAGCCAGAAAATGTTAAGCCTTGAATGTAAGACATTAGTTTTAACATCATGAAATTTCGTTTCAATTCCGAAACCACATTAAGATGAGATGTTGCAGTAATGCGGTTAGAAGGCTGTTGCTGGCGGCTCTTGCACGTGTTACGTGAAGTCAGAGTACTGCTGACTTGACGTGAACCACTTTTCATGATGTGCTCTAATTCCACGCTCACAGTCCCGGGAAGGAACGTGCTGGATGTCCCACAGGGACTTGGCTTCTGAGGTTTGCCCGCAGTCCACAGGGAGCGTCCTCGGGCCCAGGTGCTAGTTCAGTCGCAGGTGGTTGCTAAAGATGCTGCCACACGTTGCCAGTCAGCAGTTAACCACTATTGATGAAATCAAATAGAAGGCTGGTAAAAGTCCTGCAACTAGAACTTTCTGGAAACAAAGTAAGTAGGAAGCGGATGCTTATCCTGGTAGCTAAGAGTCACATTGTGGAGAAGGACTTACTTATGGTGAAGCACTTGACCATGAATATAAGGAGGTCGAGGGACCCCTCTGGTGCACAATTGGGGCCGGGGAGGGATGCGGGAGGTTGGCCAGCTGGGGAGGGACTGCGGGAGGGCTCCAGGGCATTTCCCGTCAGTCTAGCTCATTCCCCGTCAGTCTAGCTCATTCCCCGCTCCCCCCACCCCCCCACATCAGCCAGACCCCAGCAGCAAGCTAACCTACCTATTGGAGCATCTGCCCCCTGGTGGTCAGTGCATGTCATAGCGAACAGTTGAGCGGCCTTAGCATATCATTAGCATATTGCACTTTGATTGGTTGAACGGCCTACTGGACGACCGGACATGTAGCATATTAGGCTTTTATTATATGGGATTTTTATTGATTTCAGAGAGGAAGGCAGAGGGAGAGAGAGAAACATCAATGATGAGAGCTGATCATTGATCAGCTGCCTCTTACATGCCCCCTACTGGGGATCGAGCCTGCAACCCAGGCATGTGCCCTGACCGGGAATCGAACCGTAACCTCTTGGTTCATAGGTCGACGCTCAACCACTGAGCCATGCTGGCCTGGCCTTGCTACCTTTTTTGATGAGGTAATACAGAGCTAATTACATTACGAATGACAGCTAGTAAGTGAGAGAACTGAGCTATTTATATTGTAAAGAAAATGTTGAAGTGGTTGTTGAAAGTCTAAACAGTCCTTGCTTTTCTAGGTATATAAATACACTGAGTGGCCAAATTATTATGACCTGACGTTTGTAGGCAAATTAGCTATAATTTTGCGCTGAAGTTGCTAGAAGGCCAGACCATTATAAATAGGAAGCAGGTTGTTTACCACGACAGTAGAAGTGATTTTTTTCTGAAGATATGGGTAATATGGGTTGTTTGTAATGCAGGATGAATAATCTAAACATTTAGTTAATACTGCAACCAAAAGAAAAGGATATCAGGACTGAAAATAATTGGTTGGCAAGACTCACAGAAGATGGTTTTCCTTTTTAAACGTGCTGGTTCTTGTATGAAAACTAAAATTTTACCTACACGAAGCAGCCTGGGAGCAGAGACCTGTTCTCCACCTTCCTGACCTGCGGCACCTGCCCTTCTGTTAGCTGGCACTCAGTAGATTCTCTTGAATGAGTTGGGTGTTGGGTTTACTGCCGGGAAATGGTTAACAATGTCATTGAATATGGACTGAACTGCAAAATGAATATGGCATTGGTTCTTCTTAGTAAAGATTTACTGTGTACAGCACTTACGCTTCCTTTAAAAAATTTTTTTTTACAAGTAATACATACTCCCTGCATATGTCTTTCTTCACAACACATAGATTTTAAATTTCGTAACATTCACGTCTACAGAATAATTGTAGGTGTGGTGCAAAGAACCCGTTTCCCCTTGAACTATGTGAGAATAAGTTGCCAATATGTTTCACCCCTGCCCTCCCCCCCCAAATTCTTTTGTATTTCCTGCAAATCAGAGCATTTTCTCCATAACCATAACATAGTGATCACCCAGGAAACTAACATCGAGACATTTCTACCATCCCACCCTCAGATGCTGTGCCCGTTATGCGGGCTGGCCCAGTGGTAACCTCCGGGCCACACTCGGTCGTCTCCTCTGTCTCTAAGACACAGCAGTCCTCTCAGTCTTTGACTTTCATGGCCTTGACATTCTTCATTGGAGTACAGGCCAGTCATTCTGTAGACTGTCCCTCCTTTGGGGTTTGTCTGATGTTTCCTCATGATTAGATCCATGTTGTGCACCTTTGGCAGGAAGACCACAGAAGAGCCAGTGTATATCTTTTGCAAAGATTAGTTTTACATTTTATTTTCTGTTTCCTTAGAGCGTTTCCCAAAGTGTATTCTGCGGAACTAGCACCTACTGTGTTCTCAACACCGTGCCACCTCTAGAAGGTAGGATTCGCAAAGCTTTTGACTTACAGGAAGGGGTGGGCTTGGCAGCGCGAGTGTTTGCGGCATTGTAGTGCAGGAAATAGCCTGTGAGCAGGACTTAGAAGACCTGAATTCTGCCTTAACTTGTTGTGTGATCTTAGATGAGTTACTTAATCCTTCTGGGGGTAGCAAAATAATACTCCCCTTGTAACCTTTATGTGAGGATTAAAAAAGGCAAAGGGTTTAACCACATGGGAAATTCCAAGCACTCTGCAATGTTACGTATTGAAACAATGATTCTGTAACTGGTGTCAAATTCCAGACGCAGAGTAGGAGTCCTGTGGGAAAAGCCACAGGCCATGTTTGAATCCCATTTGAGCCACTTACTAGTTGTGGATCTTGGGCAAATTAATCGGAACCTCTGGCTCTTCATCTGTGAAATGGGGTGATTATGCCCTGATGGGTTCTTGGGAGGATTAAATGAGAGTGTGCATGTAAGCTCCTCCTGGATGCCTGATATGGAGGCCCACAGATGTCTGCTCCCTCAGAAATAGCAGAAAGGAAACTTACCTGGTCACGTGTAGCTCCATGGACATTGAATGGGATGAAGCAGGAGAAGATGCTCCCAAACTCAAATTGAAGCAGTCGATTGCAAAGCTCCTATACCCCACTCTAGCTGCCCCTGCACACGTATTGTAGATGGAAATATAAATGCAGATAAATAGAAGTTTATTGAACCTGGGTTATGAGTTGACCTAAACCTGGGCCAGAGTTGTAATAATAAGAACGGCAGAAAAAAGCATAAATCTGGGCCACCTAAGAATAGGAAGGGTCAGGTTTGATGATCACACACTGTAAGGAGAGGAAAGGGGTTGTTAAAGAGCAAAACTAGTTATGTTTTTCTATTAAAAAACTTATATTTTTAACCTTTAAATATCTTTTGGATAATTACAACGGAGTTTAATTCATTTTGAAGAATCTCTTTGGAAAAGAATAAAGAGAAATCCTACCAATGCTGGCACATAGTTGGTGCTTAATTAATATGTATTTTGGATGAATAATGATTTGAAAGTCTGACATTAGTAATGGCAGTATTTGCTGCTGTGAGCACTGTGCTGACTTGAATAGAACAATATGTGGCTATGTTTTCCTGAATCAGTTCCTATCCTGCTAATTAAATCTCAGCACATAATAATTAGAGCTAAACAGAAAATTGTAGAGCTTCCTTTTAATTTTACCACTCCAAGTTGATCAGATATGTTCCTGATAAGATCTAGCAGTTTGATACACTGTTATAGCGACTTATTTTGAGCAGTTTGGTCTAGAGGTTGAGAGATTAACTGTAATCAACTTGATTGAATAACAGAACCAAAATTATTGAATTTTTATTAATTATGAACAAAAATAAAATGGATGCATCATTTCCAGGTTAGTGTTGATATAGTTATAATTTACCTTGCAGAAGTCAACAGGGTGTTCCAAGGAAAAGGTCACATGTATTTCTTTGGATTTAAATAAAGGATTTGGCAATGTGAATCTCAATTTTTAGCAATAAAACATGAAAACAAGAACTCTGCTTCTTGCCTTATTAAGTGACTGCACATTTTTGTGTATTTTAGAAAGCTTTAGTTAAATTATACTGTGTCTCTGAAATTATTATTTGGAAAATATTTGAAGGTTGACTGGAAAAGATGGTTCATTCTCTAGAATTATAGTTGTCAGCCAAGCAAATCATCTGTCAATTTCAGGAGCTTCACTAGTTATTTTTATTGTGAAGGAGGTTAGAAAATAATTTTCTGAAGTCATATATCAGACCTGAGTATTATGCTAGATAATGATAATGAAGTGTTTCACTGGATTTGGTTGGCACTTCCATGTCGCAGTGTCAGAGTTTAACTATTTACATTAAATCCTGAGATGCCTTTGGAACCAGTGTATATATACATCAGGTTACTCTCAGGCGCTGTTACAATCCTGGTGCTGAGACAGGATTTAAAAACTGGCACAGGTATTTATCTAATTATTATGTCAGCATAGTTATTCCAAAAAGACGAAAAAGCAGTTCTTTTCCAGTGGGAAAGCAAAGTTACTTTTTATGACACTTTTAACTGGAAAACAGAAATTTGAAAATAAGAGTCTTAACATTTTGCCTATATGAGTTCCTACTTTGCCCCAGCACTAAAATGGCCATCTTCATAATGCATAGCGGGAAAATTTCCCCGTTGCTATGTTTCTTAAAAACACCCAATCTATATTCAGCATGAACCTAAAATTCTGGAAATGGCACAGTTTAAAAACTGATTAAGGGGAACTCATTGGCCTGTCATACTTCTGGTCCCTTTGAAGCCCTGGCTGTACAGCCCGTAGCCACTATATTTAGAAACTTGATTGAGACAGTGCTTACACAGCCATCCTCCCGTTCCTCTTTAAGAGCCTCTGCCTGATTCCGTATCAGCGTGGAGGACGGAAGGCTTTCTATAGCAGTTCCTGGTGCTGCTGAGAAGAGTGCGCTCTCACTCTCTCTC